AATTTGATACAGACATAAGTCAATAAATGTTGACTGCTCAGCAGCTCATAGTTACACATAGCATTCTAATTTTATTAGAATGAACTACTTAGTGTTAGAAAAACACAATTGTAGCTTTTCTGACTAGCTTGAACATCCTATGACAAAGGATTTTAAAAAAAAAAAGGAAAAAAAAGGCAAACTGACAAATTGCATACAGAGAAGAGTGAGAAATTGACTCCCAGAAGTGAGAACGAGTATGTTTAAATTGATTTTGTCCATATATAGAGAAAACATGGATCTGTGAAGTTCAAGTAGAGGACAGTTTTTCACACACTTACTATGTAACGGATGAGATCTGAAACAAGTGTCAAAGCAAACTTCTTCCCTAGAGAGCTCTCAGGCTGAACTTGCTTACTTTCAGCAAGTTCAATATTGCCACCCATTGCTTTTACTGAAATAATACTACTGAAAAGATGATGTTTAATCATTAGAGGAGTACGCTGAATAAAACCTCTATAAAAAGTAGTTGCGTACTGTAATCACCCACATGGAGGATTTACGGTTGGAGCCTTGACCACTTTTCTTACTCGGCCCATGGACTAGTTTAACAGGTAGCAATTTATGAACTGATCATTTATTGCAGAGAACTGAGATGTTTTCAGAATGCCCCTTATGTTGTTGAGGAAATTCATAATGTATTCTGTCATACAGGTATTTTGGTACTTTTTTAAAGATCAAACAAAACACTACGTAACTTTAAAAATACGTTTTAAAAAACCTACTGTATCACTGGTTAAAGGTTGAGTCTTTTTCTCTCTTACCCTTCTCTTTGGTTTCCTTAACAGAGGTGTTGCAGGTATTAGTTTTTTGAGACTGTTTCAGAGCTTTTCAATACTAGAGTCAGAGTTCTGGTAACAACTACCAGTTTGTCAGGGAACATTTACACTCTTCAGAAACTCTGAAACCTTCCTCTTAATCATTAGCTTCTTGATAATCAGGCACGAATAAAAAGAACTTTGAGATATTTACGGACAAGTTGTACTTGTCTGGAAACCTTTACTAGGACAGATGTCGGCATCATGTATAGCTCTTGACCATTTCTTTAAGAATGACATACTCAAAATGAAAACATTGTAATAATCACTTTTTTGGTCTTTGTGAAAGTAAAATATTTTTCAATATATGTGGGCCCCAGTGAATAAGTATGCACACATTGATTGCTAATCTTCCTGTGAAACAATGTGGAATGGCTGTACCAAATATTTAATACAGTCATTTAGACTTCAGGTTCTGCCTGCCTGTTCTCTTCCTACTGGGTTTAAAATACATGTTTTTAATTTTTGTCCTGCTCCCACTGTGACATGAAGTGCTACATTCTGTTTGCATATTGTAGATATACTTAAGTTTGTATGTGCTTCTGTGCTTACCCAGTGGCAATGTTCACAATGCAGTGAATTTGGGCCTTGTTTTATTCACTGTCTTTACTCGCTGTAGAGCTAAGGGTTTGGGGATTTTTGTGATTATCAGTCGTTTGCTTATTTGGCTGTAGTATTTGACATGGTATTAATAATGGTACCCAAATCCTCAGGAACAGTGATGGCATCAGTGTCCTCAAGAACAATGACAGAAGATACTATTTCTGAAATGACAGCATTTGTCAGAATTCTACATAGACATGGAGCATGTAAACAATGAACAAATGCAACCCAGCAGTCAGTGTCATTAGTAGCAGTATTGTAACCAAATGCCACCTGCCACACCAGATCCAGTGAACTAACACATCAGGTGTTAGATGCCTCTTTAGGAACTGGTGCCACATCTTTGGCTTGCTGCATGGATGTTACCCCAAATCCCATGTAATGGCTTTTATGGATTAATACTAAAAAAAATCTTTGCATCTACTGAAAACTTAGAGCCCTCTCAGTCCAGGGACTTTCAGGGCTGTCTTAGCCATGCAGAAGTATTCAACAACAATGGAAAAAAGTGTGTCTGAGTGACGTCTAACATGGTTTGACTGCCACACTGGTGGTAAGCAAAGCTTTTCTGCTTCCACATGCAGATGTTTTAATCAGATGTTGTACTGAGCTTGTCTTCCCATCTGGCTGCATACGAAAAACGTATTTTCTACTAGCCTCTAAATGGTTGTGTTATGTTCCTGATGCATATATATATGCACATGCACATATATGTATTTTTAAACTTTTTATCTCTGAGGTGATTCCATTCAGAGACACGTAAAGTGAGACTGGCATACACAGTGAATATTTTGAATATTTTTGCAAGCTTGCAGAAGTTTCTCTGAGTCATCTGAGGAGTGTTTTTTTTTTTTTTTAAGGAAGTATAAAGTATTTCTGTCTGTGGCTCGATACCATTAAATTCAATAGAAGACTCATTGACTTCTCTGTATGTGTGCATTAGCTTTATTTTATCAAAAAAACCCCCAGGTTATTCTTTGTGAATTCCCTCCTGCCAAGACCAAAGTAAAAAGTGGTGTCTTCCATTAATGATTTGCTAGAATATTCTCTGAGCCTTTTGATGATATTTGTAAAATAGAAATATATTATTTAAATAAAATATTTATTGTGAATTTTTTTTAAAACTTGAGGTTCTGATAATAAAAGGTTTTTTGTTTGTTTGGGGTTTTTTTTAATTTAGAAAAAAGTACTTGTTCATGCTAAAGCAAACAGCTGATGTATTTAAATACAGTTGGCTATAATCCAGATGGAAATTGTTAGTCTTTTGGAAAAATCAGGCAAAAACACAGTTTGCCACTTAAAGATACCAGTTTTAAAGAGAAAGTGGACACGTGTGTTAGTGATTTGAGTTTCTTGATTCTCCAATCATTAATATGAAATTACTTTTGGGAAAGCATTCCTTCTAGCTTCCACTGTCCTGAAGATCACCTTAAAGAATTTGGTTCTACAATCAATTAAGCTTTTTCTGTAAAGGTAACCATACAATTATATGATACTATAGTTTACTCTTATTAAACTGAATGGAGGGAACAAAGTACTGAGAAAACACCTCCTTCTGATCTCAGTAGGTCTGCTGCTGTAGATCAGCTTAGGAAAACAGTGAAATATTTTCTAGCAGTGCACGTTGTATAATTTATTTACCTCTTCTGGTATTTTCTGGTATTTTGAAGTATCAATAAGCCATACAACCCAGGTATGGGTGTATTTTTTTTCTGTTGAGAAACGGCTTCCAGACAAATTTTCTTATTAGTTGTTTGTCATCCTTGACAGATATATGCAGGGCAGAGTCCTAGAGTGGTAGGGACTCCCTGCCCTAGGAAGGGAGACATATAGCTAGGAGAGAGGAGGGATATATGAGCATTTAAAAAACAATAAAACTCAAAGTTTGTGTTGTTTTCTTTGAGTCTCACATCTTAATTGTAGTAAGTGCGTTTTTAAACTGGGTTGTCATTTATTGTGTGTGTCTGTGTCCCCATGATTTTTATATGGAAGTTTATGGGCTTCCTACTCTATAGAAAGGTATGTAGAAATTTAGAAAATAATTCACTAACTCATTTGCTACCCCTTCACATTTCACTTATTATTTCCCTTTCTCATGCAGGGAAGCTGCCTAACTTCTGTGAAATATTTTTGTTTTAAGGCTTTTTTAAAAATTCACTTCAGTCTTCACATACTGACTTTCAGATGGACTGGGTCCGAAAGGCTTAAGAAGACATGTACCGTAAGACAGTATATAAATCTAAAATGTGTAAATGCTGTCTCACTTGCTGAAAGATCTGTCCATTACTTAGACTTGGCCATGTTGCCTGCTTATAGGTTCTGCAAAGCTGGAAATCTTGGCTACTTCAGTGTTTTGTGTAAATTATGTTCTGAGTATTCTGTACAACTATTAAAATCTTTCTTAAGTAATCTGCTTGTTATTTTATGAGTATTGACTGTTATTCTTTGGATGTGATGTGTTTTATATAATCACAGCTTGAAGTATTAGTGGTTCTATGTTTCTAAGATCTAGTGGTCACATGAAATTGAGAGTAACTTTAAGTGTAAGACTGTAAATAGTGGTTCTTACATTGCTATTTGCAGTTGTTTATATGCATGCACTTACAAGTGAAGTTTCTTGAGTTGCAGTAGCAAAGACCACTATTTGAAAATAAGGAAATTGAATTAATATAAAGCAAAATGAGCAATGTCTTTATTACAAAACAACACTTGTCTAAACTGTTTTAGTTACATCTAAAAAGGCCTTGGCGTGATCTTAAAATAGAAAAGTCCATTTAAGTTATTTGGCTATGATGGCCTACCAAAAGAAACCTAGGGGACAAGGAAGATTCTTCAAAGTCCTTGGGAAATAATCTTCGGAGTCTAACTCTACAATTATTTCTTCAAAATTTTATGCAGATATTTCTCTGTTTCCTCAAAATGTAAAATTTCTCCATACCAGCCTCCTAGGAAGCAAAAAAACTGGGAGGCAAAGCCTGGGGAATATTGTTAGGTTTTGTTTTGTTTTTCCCCTGTGAGAGATGGGGAACTTTCATATCTTTCCAGTATCTGCTTATTTAAAAAGTAAATTAAAATACTCTTTCTCTGTACAGTAGCCTGATATATGATAGTCAGACTGCTGTGTGCTACATCACTGGTTGAACCTCAGTTCTTCCTCTTTGGTAGTACTAGAATCTGTGGATGGAATGTAGGTGCAATGTTCTCCCCATTGGCTCCCCTTTCAACATACTGAATGTTCCCTGTTGGAGAGCTACCTATTTTTTTTTTTTTATTTTAATATAGAAAATATTTAGTTTGTGAGCATATGTGAAGAGGTTTGCATGCACAGAGCAGTTGCCAGTGATGGGAGATGATGTGGCCCGACCACTTTGCAAAGCTAATCAGTGAGCTTTCAGTGCTGACTTTTGACTAAGGACAGCATCAAGTTTCTGATGACTCACCTGCAATAGTGTGGCATATATACATATGAAGGAAAAACCTTTTGATTGAAAACTGATAAACAGTTCTTCAGAGAAGCATTCTCAAAGGGAGGGGTACACTAAGATGGCTAATGTGGGTGAAAGTATGTTTGTCAGTAGTAAAAGTAAACTTTGGAACATGTAAGCTTTTGTCATGGTTACAGGGGCTGGGACCAATTTATCCTTATGTGGATAGAACCAAAAACTGTGTATTCTATACTCTCCATGTCAGTGCTCATGGGCTGTTAAGAAAGTCATGGGTAGCAGTTGAGAAGGACAGACCTCACACCCCAGGCTATAACAGATAAGGAAAGAGGTCAGGGAGATGTTAACACCTTCCCACCCAGCAGGAGGAGTCCTCCCTGTTCATGGGCCCATCCATGCCTCGCCCCATGACTCATACAGAACTCCCCCCAGGAGCTATTTCTGTTTAGTGGACCATCAAGGACCCACTGCATGACTCATAGACTGATATCAACCCATTGTGAGATGCTCTGCCCAGGGGGAGGAGCCAAGTGCTCCCACCTGGATATAAACTGGGGTTCAGGACAGCACAGGGGGCCTTACCTACTGGATTCCCAGAGGACAAGAGCTACCAGATCTTTTCTATGAGACCACTGTTTCATCTGGACTGCTACCACCACCCTAACTACAGAGTATCAGGTTGTATTCTGACTCTGTCTGTGGTTTTCCTTTGTATTATTGCATTTATTTTATTTTTTCCTATTGAATTGTATTTCTGACTTGGAGTCTCTCACTGGTGTGTTTTCAAACCATTACAGCTTTTGTTAGTGAAACACATAGCATTTCAAATTGACATCTAGATGGTAGGAATTTTCTTAGTATTTTAATCCTTCATTTTTATCCTGTAGATAGCATTACACTTGTGTGAATATAGTTTCAAAACAATAACATAATCGGCAATTTTAATAGTATCTAGAAATATATTTAACTGCCTTTTTTTTTTTTTCTGTAGGACAGATTATACCAGAAAAAAGATTTGTAGAAGCAATAAATCGTCAAGCATATCAGTATGAAATGGGTGACTTTCCAACAGAATGGGAAGGTAAATCTTGATTATTTTTATTTCAAGATAATTTTGCTATTTAATGTATGTTCAGTGTTTTTAATAGAAAGCCTGACTGTGTGAATAGGTTGCCTGATACCTTTCGTTTGGAGCAATACCAGCTTTTGTTTAACTGAATAATTATTATGAAATCTTAAAGTAACCCCTTTACAAATAGGACTAATTGTTTAGGAAACCAGTATGTAATAAAAATATAATGAAGCCTGTTTTCATCATGAGTTTCTGCTATCAAATGTGAAAATATTTGTACCAGAGATGGATCTGATAGAATAACCAAAACTAAATGTGTTAAACTTATTAATTATGCCTTCACTGTAGTGTTAGTTTGTAGATTACTTGAATTATTTGTGGCACAGTGATGGGACTTTTTTTTTTCTTTTTTATGGTGGTATTTGGCTTCCTATACTTTTCTTTACACAATCTTGTAGTGAGTTGGAGAATCTGTTAATAATGAAGCATTTTTTCCCACAGCTACTGATTAAAATTTTGTCTGAAAATTTGTGACATAGAAAGAAACTTAGGGACATTAGAGAAGTTGCTTTGGGTTAGCTTAGCGCCCATTGGAGCAAGAGAGAAGGTGGAGGGGGAGTGTATGTTGGTCCTTGAGGCTGTAGGAGCTCAAGACAAGATGGGGGTTAAATGTGGTTTAAAATTCAGGAACCTGAAATAATAGATGGAGTCTACCTGTCATTCAGCATGGGAGGATAATGTCTGGCATCTCCCAGAAGCTGGTAGGTTTAAAGCAAACAAACTTAAATTTTAACCAATATGTACTTAAACTGGAATACCTTGTCATTGAATATTCTGCTTGTTAGAAGTTTGCATCAGTTCAAAAAGTGGTTACAAGTATTCATGGAAGAAAAATCTGTGTTGAACATGCGCATCACTGTGGTTTAATCTGTCAGTGAGCTGCATGTTAATGGATGTTACCATATGTTTTGAGAAAATACTGCAATATACTTGCTTTACCTCATTCTATTTCCGTTGTGATCACTGTTGGCCCCTGAGGGAGATGATACTGAATTAAGAGAAAACTTTGCTCCTGTTATATCCCTTTGTGGAGTCAGCAGATAAATATCAACTGTTTCCACCTTGCATTTTATCATTGTCATTATTCTCTTTCATATTTTTTTTTTTTTTTTTTTGTGTGTGTGATACACTAAGGCTGATATTCAGCTAAAACCTTCTCAAAGATGTTTCAAACCTATTTGCAGGGTTTATCAACTGTGGCAAGAGCTTCTGTATTCTGCTGCAGCAGTGCCCACAGCTGGCTGGCAAGTCTTAATCTAGTTGCTCCTGGTTCTTTATCAGTCTGAGATAGCTGTCTGAAGAAGAAGAGCAGCAGCCTGATAGGCTTATCCTTACTAAATCATCTCAGGGTTGAATGGGTATCTACCTAATCCAATTTTCTGAAGGTCCAAAAGTTCTCCAGCCACTGCTTGTCTTCGGTCTGACTGTCCTGCCATCACTCTGCACCACAAACACTGGGATAGATGCACTGAGATAAAGCCTCAGGTAACTCTGCTCTGCTGTGAGTGAATCCTCATCTAAGACCTGCTGCTGCCTTTTAAGAGTGAAAAAATGCAATTCAACAGTCTCTACCTGCACTTGGCTGGAATTAACAGGAAAAAAAACAGGGACAGTCGTACTGTCTCAGATGGATGTGAGCTGTTCAGCCTTGCACAATGGGTCTTAGACTGATTCAACCAGCTTGTTCTGTGGACTGCTGGAATCGGTGTAGCACTGATGAACCTGTACTATATCTCTCTTCAGAAACCTCAGCACAAATCCATGTGACCTGACAGTGTGGTACATGAAAAGGCACCAATACAAAGACCCTGCAGTATAGACTTGCCTAGGAAGGTGCAGCTGCCAGACCTGAGATGCACTTTTGCAAGGTTTGTTTAAAAGAAGAAAAGACAATTGGCCAGTCTTGTTTTTACAAGCTGCGTTTACACTTTTAACACTTAATTTCCTTGCCTTTGTAACTGTGGGATTTTTTTCTTTTTGATTTTTTTTTCAGCACCAAATAGAAAAACTTGACAGAGAAAAGGAATATTTACAGTGTAGAGATTACAGTTTTTTCTTCTTATGTACTGAATTTCTCTAGAAACTGAAAGAAATATGCATGCGTGGGTTTTTTTTGCCTGTAAATTCCTTAAGCAGAATTAAGATGAATAAGTAAATGTTGTACGTGTTTCTGGCAAAGTATGGGAATTACACACACACACACACACACACACACACACACACACAAACTAACCTGTATTTGTTTGTCCAGTACCAATTTAAACATCACAGTTTTGTGCAAGTGTAATATGATTTTAAACAGCCCAAACTTGTAGTTTCTTATGTGGGTACAGAGGCTGCTCCAACAATTGTTGCGCCTTTGCTGTATATTGGAGTGTGGATCAGGGATGTGGGGTGCTCTGATGAAGTTCAGTTCTTCACTGCTTGTTTTCTCCCCCTGTAAAATGAAAAAAACTTTCAGTCAGTAGGAAATGGGAAAGAATGGAAAGAGTAGAGAGTTGAAATAATACTAGAGAAGCAAGCTATCTGAGTGGGAACAGTTAAATACAAGGGTTTTAGACACACTTTGCTGAGTGGTTTATTGCAATTTTGTCCCTGTTTTTCCCTCTTTTGAGATTGGTTTAGAAGATTCCCAGGCCCATAAGACCTGCACTGAACTTTCACTCTCTATCTTCTGTCCAGACTCTTGAAAATTTCTCGAAGCATTTTTCCCGTGGGTGCTCACTTCATAATTCATGCTGTCACAGATGCTAATAATTTCAGCAAACAGTCTGAGACTTTGCAGAAGGATTTCTAAAGTGCTTGCTGTTTTCTTTGAACAATAAAAGTTTAATATAAGGTTAGAAAGCTGCATAATATTTATTATTTCAGTTTTCTCTATACTCTTGGCAATTTTGTGAATTTTTAGTGTTCTAAATCCTCTCTGCTGGGCACATGTTTACATCTCCAGGGGTTGTCTGTCCATGTCCTGTGTATGCACTTTGACATCCACAGCCTCTCTCCACTTCAGTTGTGGCTGGCTCAGCAATAGCAGCCTCCTTGTGTAGCCTTCTCAGGCTTTTCACTTTAAGGATTGTACTAAAGCTTCTGTTGCCTTACTTCCTCTCCTTTTTCTTGAAATCTGCAGAGAGCTGCTTTTACCTGTGCTGTCTTTGTTCTGTGTGGACTCAATTTTTTCATTTGTGGATAATCCTTAATGTCCAGCTGATTTAAAAGCAGTCACCCCAGCACCCTTTCCCTCTCCTTGTTTCCCTGCATCACACTTCATGTCTAGAAAAGAAACCTCTTGTCACCAGAATGAATAGAAGTACTGTCCCTGGAAATACTGAAGGGCATGAGTTGTCTGAGAGCTTGCACAAAACCAGACACAAGGGATTGTGTAAGGAGTGGGAGCAGGCTGTAGTGAAATTTGAGGAGGATCTGAGTTAAATCTGATTGTCTATCTAAAGACATTCAGCCTAGACAGCTGGTAAACTAAGGGGATGATTTTGGTGCTGTGTTTATCAAGTTATAAACATATAATAACATAACCAAGACCAAGCTGATAGCTGTAAAGCAAGCAGATAAACCAGTCATTCATATTACAGGCTCAGTGTGTGCAAGCTGTTTCTCAGACTCTGGAGAGGATATTAGTGTATTAGTCCTGAGAGTTTAGTGAATACAAGTCCGGGGGTTGTTTCTGAAGGGTTTGCCTGGAATGTTTCTACTAAAGATGTTAGTTTTAAGTGATCCGTAGGATTAGATTTCTGAGTGCTCAGACCTGTTAATTTTACAAAAAAACTGAAGGTCCATTGAGGCTTTTGCAAATCTGAAACATGGTCAATATTAAAAGAGAATCATAATCCTTTCTGTTAGCTATTTGTACACAGAAAATTAAGTTATTTTTCATTTAAAAAATCCAGAAGTGTTTCCTTTTGTGTGGTAGCTTTTAATTTAGAGCATAATCCGTACACACAGTACGAATATTACCTGTTTTTGTTTAGGTGAAGCCTCTTCTGTTTTCCTACAAAGTGGAAATACATACGTTTCCCTAAGCAGTATGGATGGACACAACTGATAACCTTTCTGTAGTGTTAGTTCTGAATGTTCACTTACCATAGAATATGTAATTTACCTCCCCACAACATGTCAATAGTGCTCCTTAGAGGACCTCAGTGATTTTACATACATATTCATGAGATTGAATGGTTAGTGCAGCATTTTATTGCCCATATAATCCTAGGTGGTTTTGTTCTTTTTTTTCCTTCTTTCCAGGTAAGTGATTAATGGGAGTCTTAGTTTGCACATTCACTTTTGCACTGGTTAGTGTGTTATGTGCTAGTGTGAGTCTTCAGTGAAAATCCCATGCATGCTAATAAGAATGCAAATGAGCACTGATGATCGAATGCAAGGGTCTCAAGGTAGGAAGTGCCCAGCTATCTTGCAAAATTCCTTTTAGAAAAAAAGTATTATTACAATGAGTGGAGCATGCAGGAACTGCCATCCTGATAAAGCTAGAAGCAGCAGCATATTTAGTTTGAAATGGTGTCAGTATTTAATTTTGCCAGAGCTCTGGGGGACAGGGAAGCATGGTTTAGTTGTGCCCAGGACATTCACGTTACCTTCTCTACCAGATCTAAAACATCTTGGCTGACAATGGTGAGGGTGTTTGTTTTGTTAGCACAGGGAAAAGGAGCGTTCATGTGGAAAGCTTTTCCAGCTGTAACTGTCACTGGCACTTTTTAATCAAGTACATGCATGTGTGCATATGGTGTTCAAATAATAAGTAATAAGCACCTACCTGCTTTGCTTCCACCAACATATATTTAGCTGCGATATATAATCACAGAATGACTTAGGTTGGAAGGGACCTTAAAGATCATCTAGTTCCAGCCCCGCTGCCATGGGTTGGAATGTTCCAATACACCAGGTTTCTCGAAGTCCCATCTGACCTGGCCTTGAAAAATTCCACAGAAAAGGCGTCCAGCATTTCTCTGGGCAGCCTGTTCCAGTGTCTAACTGCTGGATTTCTTAGGATTTCTTTCTAATATCTAAACTAAATCTACCCTCTTTCAGTTTGAAACCATTACCCCTCATCCCGTCACTACACGGCTTTATAGAGTCCCTGCCCGTCTTTCCTGTAGATCCCCTTTAAGTATTGGAAGGCTGCAGTAAAGTCTCTAGAGAGCCTTCTCTTCTCCAGACTAGACAGCTCCAGTTCTCTCAGCCTGTCCTTATGCAGGGTAGGTGCATCAGCCCCTTAATCATCTTCATGGCCTTCTTCTGGACCCACTAGAGCAAGCCCATGTCTTTCATATGCTGGGAACTCAAGAGCTGGATGCAGTACTGCAGGTGGGGTCTCACAAGAGTGGAGAAGTGGGTGAGAATTGCCTTCCTTGGCATGCTGGCCATGCTTCTTTGGATGCAGCCCAGCATGTGATTTGCTTTCTGGGCTGCGAGTGCACATTGGTGGCTCATGCTGAATTTTTCATCCACCAACACTCCCGAGTCCTTTGCAGGGCTGCTCTCAATCCATTCTCTGTCCAGCCTTTATTTGTGCTTGGGATTGCCCCTACCTGGGTGCAACCTCTCCAGCCTGCCCAGGTCCCTCTGGATGGCCTCCCTCCCCTCCAGCTTGTCAGCCACACCACTCAGCTTACTGTCATCTGCAAACTTGCTGCGAGTGCACTCAGTCCCACTCTCCGTGTCACTGACAAATAGGTCAAAGAGTAATTTAAGTCTGCGTTGTCTACTTCTGTAATGGAAAGTGCAAGGAAAGGTGGGGGAGCTTTTTCATTGCTATATTGTATATAATGACTGTATTTTGCAAAGAGAATGCAAACTGTTGTAATTTCAAGATACTATTTATTTGGATTTTGTTAAAATAAGTGCAAGCTCAGTAGTAAATGAGTGGTTGTATTTTTGTATATGCTCCTTTAATTCCTTTAATTGTTGGTGTGAATTTATCTTATGCCTATGTTATGAGGTACTGGTGGGTTTTGAACCTTGTGTTGGATACTCAAAATATGGTTAATAACTTGAAAAAAAATTGAAAGGCTTTTTAATTTTTCTGTCTGAAAGAGAATCACTTGAAAACTGATGAGTATTAAATATATTAGTCCATTCTTCTGCCTAAAGACTTAGGTGAATTATTTAAAAAAAATAAAAAATTCTTTTCAAATAACTGGTAAAACTATTAAACACTAAAGTACAAGGTTCTAAATATTAATTTATTCCATTTAAATGTTTACTTTTAATCTTGTAATGTATCTTGAGCTGTGCTTTACATAGAATATTTCAGAAATGGATTTGCACAGAGGGAATATTACATATTAAACTAACTTCATTTTATGTCTGTAAAAAGATTTTAGTAAATTTTGTTACTGTGTTTCTCCCTCAGCTATGTAGCAGTGAAGTAATCTTTTGTTAAATAATGATTTTCTAATGCAGCTCATTAAAGATATTAAAATTAATTTACCTGTAGTAATTTGGAAAATAGTATCCAGTCTTCGTGGCAGCAATTTTTATTTGGAGTTAAACTGGAAAAGTTTTGTAGTCCTGATACTTATTAGAAAACAGTTGAGAGTTCCTAAAAAAAACATGCATTTAAATGCTTGTTGTGGCTAGAGAGGAAAATAGCACAATGTTGTAACTGTGTGCACTATTTATGTATGTAATATAGTCTGATAATGGAATGTTTGATGCAAAATTTAATTCCTAAATAAAGGATTGGTTTGTTCCTTTTGAGTAGTTTTACTAATTAAGATCTACTAATTAATGAAAACACGTTGCATAATGTTCCTTGCTTCACATCTTCTGTTCACAGGACAGGTGTTGTGTTACCCTTTGCTGTTCTGTTTGTGGCTTGTTAAACTGGAGCAGATAATTAAATGATAAAATCTCTTAATAGTATTTCATTCATTTGAAAATCATTAATCAAATAACTGCCTAAAACTCCCATCTACTGTTGAAGGAAAATTTACTGTAACAGTTACATTTTGGCAGTAGTTTCTAAATGCAGATTAGTTTTTGTGGGATTTAAAATTCTTAAAATTTTTCCATAAAAATCACTAGTTGTAATCAGTTGAAGTTAACTTGCAGCTGATATTTTAAGAAAATACTAGCAATTTCCAAAAAGTGAAGCAATTTCTAGCTGCTGAGAGCTGTGGATTTGAAACCAGTGGTACTGCACTTCCAAGTGACAGAAGCAAAATATGGCATGGCAAAAGATGATACTTTGTTGAAAGTAATTCCTTAAATTTTGAAGGTTTAAAACCTAGGTTTTTTACATTTTGACATTTTTTAACTACTTTTCCTTTTTTTCCTCCAGCTGTATCTTTTATTGATTAGTGTCTAGTATACCTATTTCTCTATACCTGATATTTTTTCCAATTTATTGCTTTTCTGGATGATATTGAAACAGTTACCAAGTGTGGACAAAGATGACATCCGTCAGGAGGAAAGGCTTATCTGCTGTGATTTTCTCTAATAATGGTCCTTTTACAAAGAGCATCTGCAAGGCTGCCAGCTGAGAGGTGCCGGTCTCAGTCACGCCAGTTTAGTCTGTCATGTTGCCAGATTTTGCATTTGGAATTTTCATAAAATTTAAATGTTGGAAAATGCTATAGGTAAATGTCAGGTGTTATGTAGTTCTATAGATTTAATAGAAAGTCATTTAGTTCTATTATGGATTACCTTCATGGACTGTTTTTCTTTCCACTAACTTAATACTTTTGCACAAAGAGTGATACTGATTTTTCAGTCCTCACTCACTTCTCCACAATGCCAAATTCAGACCTAATCTTTGTTAGGACCAAAAGACCTCTGAGAAGAGCTGGCAGGGACTGCTTTTAAGGAAAGATGTTTGAGGGTGGTATTTAATGGAACACATCTTCAGAAAGTATTATGTGATAGACAAGAACCAGAAGTAATACCTGATTTTATATCGGTACAGGCATTTTACCATTAACCTTGAGGTAAGGCTGTTGACCTTGCCCTCATGGATAAGTTTTGAGCTATGTAATGCAATTTTACCTCCATTAGTTCCATCATTATGTTAATAGGAAGTTTCATATATGTGAATATATGCGCTTAATATGTGTAAGTGCTTTTTCGTAGTGAAGTGACATTATGACTCTCTGCAGCTTTTAGTGTTTTGGATTTGCTTCTGACTCATTCCCTAGTTCCCCTCAAAATACAGTAAAGATGGTATTAGAAAATTAAAATTTGGAATAGTTACTTCTTAAAGCATTTCTCATACTTCAGATAGGTATAGGTCAGACAAGGAATTTGACCAGGTGATAGTGAAAATGTCATTTTTGCTGTAATTTTCAAGCACAGTAGCGAAAGTCTTAATTATACAAACAAACATACAAAAGAACATTTTGCTATGTCTCAGAACTTGGAAGTGGCTTTGCTTATGTTTGTCCTTCTGTTCGTTACTGGCTATTTGCATTCTGCTACTTATTAATTTGAAAAATAGGAGCAGAAAAGATAATTATCTACAAAATATACAACACAGTGCCTACTAATTGCGTGGATTGAAAAGGCATGAAAAAGTGCTATGGTAGTAATAATTTTAAAGGATGATGGGTATTGTCTGGTCCAGTCAGGCAATTTGTTTGTATAAACAATGCCTGTAACAGTGGGAACTATCCCTAATCAGCTGAATGAAGCAAGACCCAATGGAGTGCCACTTCTGTCTGCAGTGGGTTCTGTTTGGATTGCTGCCTCCATCAGTCCCACGCTAACCATCAGCCTTTGCAATGAGAGAGTGGACATAAGTCTATTCATTTTGGTTCATCATGAAATCCTGAGCCACAGGTCAGCTGTAGTTGCCCCTGCTTTCATGGCTCTGCTGTCTTTTCCAGTGTGACTTGACTGGGAGGGGGGGACCCATCCCTCAGTTACAGTGTGTCCCCCTCAGTGCAGTGAGAGGTCCCACACAGCTATAGAACATGGTGCAGTCAGGGCTTTGTAGCCCCTCGGCGGAGTTTGGGGGTGTATCTTGCATCCATATTAAGGAGTTTTAGTTGGCACTAGAATTCAACTTTAACAATGCCTGGGGTTTATACACAAATCCTTTTCCTCCAGAATGGTCTAAGACTTTTCATTCCTTCCAGCAATCATCTTGCTGTTCTCTCAGGGGGAAGCTGAGCTCCGTATCACAAACTCAGCAACAGGCTTGCGCCATGATCCCTGCTTTTTTAAGACCCGTTTTGGTAGCTGGGGTGTTATGTAAACTGTGCCCAGGCTCTCCTCATGAAGGTGATTTTTATTTTTTTTTTTTTTTTTTTCCCCTCCTTCCTTCTGTGAAGACCAAGACTATTGACATGGGAAATAACACCTTGGGTCTTTACATTTTGGTAAATTAGATGACTGGACAGGTTGTGGCAAATTCTGTTGTAACTTTTTAATATAAATGTTTGCTTTCCATTATAAGTTCATCATAATTTTGAGTTTTAATACTGTCTGTAATCTTTGAAATAATCAATTTTATTTTTCTTTATTTTGCAGCATGGATAAGAAAAAAAAGAAATGATCCACCCACCATTGAGGTGAGAGAGAGGAAATGTCTTCAAATTTTCAATTGTTGTAGTTAAACTACAATAATTAATTTATAGTGGACTCATCTGTCCATTAATTTGTGAGTTGTGGGGGAGAATTTAGTCACTCGCCTGATTGATGAAATTATAGGTATCTAACAACTGGAAAAAACACCAAAACAAATGGAGATATAAACTCCTTTATTTGTTCTTTTTAGCCATGTGCATTCTTTAGGGTGATCTACATAGGTTCTTTAAGATGATCATGGCCATTCAAGAATTTCTTTAAACAAATTCTGAAATGCTGCTGTGAATTTTAAAAATATGTTGTCTATGCAAGGTTTGTTTTTTTCATGGTAGTTTACATTAAAATGCAGTTTTTAAATACAGTTGTGAGTGGATTCATCAGTACAGGATAAGAAATTTCACTAACATTGTAAAATGCCAATGAGTTGGGAGAGTTGTAACTGTGACTTTTTCTGCAAGTGGTTTCTGATGGAATGAAACAGGGAAATATCCCAGAGTCCTTCATGCTAATGAGTTTATAAAGAGTGTAATAAGTTTGGCTGTTGATCTGTGTATGCGGATGCATGCACATACACTACTTGCTGTGGATTTGTATTATAAGCTGCTGAGCACCAGCTAGGAATGAGTGAGTAGATGAGGTATAATTTACTACAGAAGATTCAAACTGACACCTGCAGAGGCAAATATTTGACTTGCATCAGTAGGAATAACTGTCAAATTCAGTGAATCTGTCTTGGCATATTCTAACCAAAGATCTGGTCATTGAGATCTTCTTGAATATACTGGTTTGTGAAATGTTGTTGTGCCTGCCAGTGTGTTAAGATGTCCCAGGGATGCTTATCAGCTGATGTTTATCAGCCATAACCTGTTGAGATGAGGTCCCATGCAACTTAGAGCTTTTCAGCTAATTCCCTCTGCCTCTGTTTCACACTTGCCACTGAGGTTACAGAGTTAATAAGAGCTGTAATACACCCATGAATACACGAAATTTAAGTTAAAGTTATCCTCAAACCTTTTTAGGAATTAAAGCGAATGAACACATTTTTCTTTGCATTAATATTCATGCAAGTATTAAATGTAATTTAAACCAGTTTTTTTTCCTCCTCCCTCCTTATCCTATTTGCTTGTGCAAAAGTGATACTGTAGTAGTTCTTCTAAGCTTGCACCAGTCTCCTTTTAAGTAACTCTGGCTTGTACTGACTTTATATATACAAGTTTTATTGTTGAAATTACCACCTCATGTGATGCCTGAAGATGAGTAGTGTTACATGTCTTTTGTGCTACCATTTCCATGAGCCAGAGTGCCATGATAACTGTACTAAAATAAGCCTACTCCAGAGAATGTGGGGAGCCTTGGGTTCGGAAGTGGTGCGATACAGCTACTCCTGGCACTGGAGGTATTCGTTCTGTTTCAAATTAGGGAGCAAGGAGTCTCCACAGGTGAGACAGCTGTGGATCAATAACAGTTTAAATATCTTAACTTCCAGAAAAAGCAATTTATGGAAAATGAAAGATTATTGGCAGCAGTGATTCATTCGGAGTTACAGATGTACTTATACCTTCAGTTTCGTGAGATAATACATCTGAAAAATAACTTGGCAGCTAGTTACTTTTCCTGCAGAGCTGTGCATTGACCTTATCAGAGCAGAAATGTTACCAGCAATTTGAAAAGTAGTTACCTTTTCTTTCAAGTAATCTCTAAATTGTTTTTACCTATATATGAAATGGTAGTTCAAATCTATGAATGTTTTTTAAAAATAATGCTGCAGTCACAATTTAAATATGTGATAGTCTGGCTTAGGGATTTTGTTTGTTTGTTTTGCAATAGTATAGTGTGACATGCATCATCTACTTTTGTCCTGATTTGAAACTGTTATAACACAATCTCCTATACTATAATAACATCATAAATATATTGATGAACTACATATACAATACTGTTTAGTCCTGATTTGTAGGACTGATGTGCCTCAGTGTTTTAGCTACATAATCTTTACTGGCTGCTATTCTGTATTTTATTCCCTTTTTGACAGTAATGGTGATGTGGTAAACTGCTGTTTGACAGGTATGGAACAAGGGAGTATTTGTGACCATATTTCATGTTGAAACTCTGTATTACAAATCTTCCTGTTCTTTTACATATTTCTCATGAGACTAGACTACTTTTAAAAAGGATGCAGAGCCAACAAATTTTGCATGTTTGCTTTAGTGTCATTTTACTGTCAACATCATATTGTAACACTGCAAAACAGCATTACAGTTCCTAAAGCATAAGTGTCTGGAGCTGTGCCAATGTTCCTACCTTTACGGTCTGTAATACTACTGGGTTTTTTGATAGTTTTCCTTTTTTCCCCCTGTCTTTTGCCTATTACTTTTTTTTTTTAATTTTTAATACCGAATGGCACATTTAACTTTACTATTATTTCTATTCCCCTTCTCTGCCCTATTTGCCTACCATCCCCTTTAGTATTCTGTGTTTTGGGTTTTTTTTTTTTTCTATTTGTCAAACTTGTCTTTTGTACAGGTCACAGCTATGGTTGAAAGAGGCTGCCAAATTTCTTAGGCTATCAGGTCTCATGATGAGCTTTATGATCCAACTTCACAGATCCCATGGATCTTAGTGATATTACTGATAGCACTGTTGGCCACAATTTGGGAACCAATATTCACAGTTGGTGAATAGTGTAGGCCAACAAAATGTCATTCATAATCATCATGATGTGTCAGTCACTTAAGTGAGAATGAATGTGAGTTGTCCTTCCTTAGGCTGGCCAAGGTAGCTGGGTGATGACAACAGCAAAGTCTACTGACAATGTAAAGACTGGATAATGTTCTGGGTCCAGGCCATTCTTTCTTCCACAAATACCTAACTGATTTTCTGTTTGTTTGTTTACATTATAAAGCTTTCATTTTCTCAAGGAAGAAATTGGTTTAAATCTCTTTATTTACATTCTGTATTTTTTAATGGGAGAATACTCCAGTGACTTCACGATTCTTTTTGTTAATTTTAAGTGTTTCACATACTTAACATTTTCCTTCCCCCCTACACCTCCACCGCTTTTTCCCTGTTTTTGGAGGGAGTCACTTAGACTTCTGAGTACTAGGCTAGTCATAACCCAAGAATGCTGCTCATCACCTTGATTATTTCTAATCTGGCCAGTACTGTAAGGTATGCTACTGTTTGGAAGCCTCGAGTTTTAAAAGCTATTTTCTGGGACACTGGAAAGGGTTGCCTTTTGATTTTATTACAACTTAAAATATGCCAAGTCTCAACTTGGTTATGAATGAGAGTAGTAACTTTGCAAATGAATGCAGACCAAGTTGTTTCTTATCTTGCACTTAAACATATTCTGTTCCTATGGTAATCAGGGAGTCCATCTTGATAAAGAATTTTGGACCACTTCTGCACACAGTGTAAGCATGCGCATGTGTATATACATATACACATACTGCTTTATTCATAGGTGAGAATCTGAGATTATACGTGTATATTTTAGCATTACTATAGCAGTCTGTCATCTGACACTTTATATATATATAGTTTATGGCCATATATGGTTGGCTGAGGAAGATTTGTCTTTACCTTTATTCCTGCACAGCTGTAAGTTATATTTTAACCAACTTAACAAGTGATGAATAATTAAGTAAGCTATCACATTTCTTTATAATGTATATAGGAGACTATATGTATGTTCCATGTTTTGGGACAAGTAGGAAACATATCCTTGTCTAGAGAACTTACAGTTTTTAATTAATGAAAACGTTTTAAAAACTACAAATTAAAATATTTTAAATCAAATGCTGGTTTGATTTAATAATTTATCACATTACGTGCAAATTAGTTTACCTGCTATGCATTAATGTTATCAGAATTTATTTTTAAAAGTTGTCTTGTGAAATAGCAGTTGTTTTATAGGAGTGATGTTCCATCCATGCAAATTACTTCTTTAAGAGACTATTATCTTAAATTCATCAAGCCGTAGTCCACTTTCAGTATGGCTTATCAAATAGATTGCAGGGTAAATGTAAACACGCTGTCTTGCATACACACCTACCTCCCAGTTTTACTTCTGGCTACAGTTTTCACTCCTGACTTAAAACATGGCATCCTTACATTTTGGATTTTTCACATCTCTGTTGCAAAGGAAAGAAAAAAATGCTCTTGGGAGGCAGGGGGAAAATCCTTCTCTTTGGGACTCTTTTTTTTGTGGGAGGCTTGTGTTGCTATTCCATCATCAAAATGGAATAGCAAATCCATCAAAATACCATTAAAGGATATTTAAAAATGTAACACTTGGAGGACCACTGTGGGTATGTCTATTACTTCTTATGTACCTTCATGAATTTCAAGCAAAATTCTGAAAAGAACTTCGAAAATTCTCAGCATTTTGTTGATAGGTAACTTTGCATGGCATTCACGAGCTTTGCTGCATTCTACATCTCCTCTTTTCATTCTGAGTCACACTCCTTTTAAAGAAAAATGCTTTATTTATCATTTGAGATAGCATTATGTAAATATATTTTAAAAACTAATGAAAGAATTGTTATTATCTGTTGGTGCAGATCCTACTTGAGATGGTGGCTGTAGGCATAAGATACTTGCAAGCTTTGGTTGTGCTGTCTGTTTCAGTAGAGTATCTAGCTCTATCTGATTCTCATCTTTATATGATCAGCGTGTATGTAACACACAGCTGGGTTTTACCTTACACGGATAGTGGGAGTCTACTCTGCTCTGGTGAGACCCCACCTGGAGTACTGCATCCAGTTCTGGAGCCCCCATTACAAGAGGGATGTGGACCTGCTGGAGCGTGTCCAGAGAAGGGCCACGAGAAGGATCCGAGGGCTGGAGCAGCTCTCCTACGAGGACAGACTGAGAGAGTTGGGGCTGTTCAGTGTGGAGAAGAGAAGGCTCCGAGGTGACCTTATTGTGGCCTTCCAGTATCTTAGGGAGGCCTACAAGAAAGCTGGGGAGGGACTTTTTAGGC